TAAAAACCTACCATGTGGTCGCATGGTTATTTTCCATGCGACCTCATGGTTCAACGTAAAATGGCTCCTTCATTCCCTGTTGGCGTGTGTACGACCGCATGGAAGATAAAAACTTTAATTTCGTCCTTGAGTGTTGTTTTCTCCCATTTTGACTTCTTTTCTTCCGTCTTCTTCCTCCAATGTGTTATTCTAATGCTCAATTAGTCATTGAAATCTTCACGTCTCCAATTTCTCTTTTGGGTTATCTTTCGATTATTTGCATATTGGTCCCTGAACTTTGATTTTCTTTTATTTTAGTCCATTTTTCCATTTTTTCCTATTTTTCGCCATATTCTTCAGTGTTGTTATGCAAAACACAAATTGCATCAAATTAATCTATATTCCACATAATTATTAACAATTATCCATGTTTGTGGCCTAAACTAAGTGTGTAAAATGCACTTATCATAAAACTTGAGAAAATACATACAATATAATCCCTCAGACATGGGCACTAAGGTGCTACCGTTTGTGAAATTTAGAAGTTGCAAAGATCTTCTAAACATCGGTGGATGTAAATAATTTTCAATTTTATTGGTTCTCTCTTTCTGGATTATTGTAATGCATAATAATTTTCTTTACATGTCCTCAGACACCAAGGTGGATGTTTGTTAGGCAAATTATTGTCAAACGACCTCCCGGTAATGATGTAAATTATTGTTTATTCAGTCACATCGACCAGATGACTGAAGTAGTATATCGACACCACAATTGTTTAAACCAACCATATAACATATTTGAGTCATTTGAAGTAGTCTAGTTTAATTAGTGTTACTCATGGCCCGACCCATTACCTTTGGATGGCTTTTTTGGTTGACAGCCCATTTATATGTTGGGAGGTATGAAATTATGAGGCATGGAAAAACTATGAAGTTCTTTGGAGAATGGTAGGTTGTCGAGCTTATAAGATCGACATGGTCCATCAGAATCATTCTTATCTGCTAAGTAGCGAGGTGAAGGTTGGGACAATCCTCCATGATTTCCCCAGTTCATCAGACTTCGCCTCTTTCGCATGTTCCTAGATGGGGGAACCTAGGCTATTATGCTTAGTGCTTGTTCTTGCGATCAAGCTGTTTACTGGGCGGATTGATTCCTATTCCTAGGCATATGTCCAATCTGGTCAAACACACTCGTGGATCTTTGATGCAACTCTTCATAATTCGAGGGAAAATTGTCTTTGTCGGCTTGAACGTTATCGGTAGGGCGCCCGGAGACATTGTTGGAGGAAACATCTACCCCTACACTTGCACTATGGAAGGGGTGGGTCCCTAGAAAGAAAAAGGAGCACAAGGTTTTTACATTATCCGTCCCTAAACACGTCACTACGAAAAAGTCAAGTTCCGGTGAACACCACCACTGGATGTCCCAGCTCTGGTCTATCAACTCACTAACTTGACTGTCGGAGTGCTCGCATCCGCTTCCACCCCTACCAAAAAAGTCCACGAGCGACTAACGTTGTATTACTACATGCAAGAAGAAGCTTACGTGGAAGTATTCTGTTGGCCACATTCTCACTTCTGATGTCTCTTGTCATCAGCTCTGATCTGCACAAAGGAAAACGAGACATATTTGATAAAAGACCAATGCAGCAAAGAATGACCGCATAAATCAGAATCCACTAATCAAGACTTTTCCTACCTCCTTATGCCCTAATTCTTGCTTCTAATCTTCCCAAAAATTGAATAAATGGAACATAATTGATATGGGTTTTCAAAGACCTTCAAAAAGGCCCCTAGAAAAGTCCCGACATGCCCCCAAAGAAAATAAAAAATTACAAAACAGGGACAAAATTTTCTACCCCCAGACACAACCATGCGTGCGCATCGCCAAGTACGAGGGCGCACTACCCTTGTGTTGGGCTAGCCCGCATGTGCGGTGCTTAGCCCTGCTCAAGAATAAATTTATCAAAGGTCCTTCAATAATTTTTTGTACCTGTGCACTTTGATCTTCAAGTTCACATTTTTGTACACTTTTGATCATTTTCCCTTCATTTTGCCTTGTTTTCCTTCAATTAGGGGTTTTGACCTACATCAACCACATTTACACGATTGTAAGTAGAAAGTCACTCATCTCATCAATATTTAACTTATTTTAGGGTTCCAATATGTGTGTTAAAATACGCTTATCAAACACACCAAACTTAAGTTCTTGTTAGTCACGAACTAGATTATCTACTAGCACAATCAAGTAATACGAGATAGAAATTCACAATATTAGATAGCTTGTCAAATCACCATTGAGTATAAAATTGTATAATCAATTCAAAAAAAAGCCTCCAAATAATGCTACCAAAACAAATTGAACTCATCCAATGTTTGATTGGTGTCTGTGCATAATCACTTTCAATAATTACCTAGACTCAAAAAAAATTGGAGAGAGTGAGAAATTTTTAAATTGATGCCAACCCGACCATTAATGGTCATTTCTTTCCTTTCCCACTCGTGAAATTCACATCCCCAAATATATACTTCTTTTCTTATCAAAGATGTTAATCTATAGGTTGGTCTCAAATTACTTATTTCTTTTTCTGATCTAATTTGAATGGGTCTCACCGACAATGTCAACAATATTGTCATATGATGATTCTCCCCAAAGTTGAATGTTTCAACAATTAAGCTTATATAAAGTAATTCAAACTCAATAGTTATCTAAGAATTCAAGTCAATTAAATGCACGATTTCTTCCTATCTTAGCACTTATAGCTCATGATTGACTTCACTCCCTTATACTTTCTTCTTGACCCGTGTAGCGAGTTTTAAGTCGATGCCTCCTTGATTTTTAAAGATCAAAGGGTATCGAGTTTTGAGATACCCTTACAAACTTACTAACTCGAGTCAAAAAAGGCTTAACGTGTACAATGACCGCTTTTTTAGCAAGTAAAATTATATAGAGGTTTAGATCTCTAGCATATGGTTATTATCTAGGGGTTGTTTGAGCTCCATTTTTTTTCTTCAAAAAATGCATTTTATAATAGTGTTTTGATGGAGGATATGTGGTTAAAAAATTTTAAATTTGCTTGTAATATTATTTTATTAAAAATGTGTGGTTAAAATAGAGTTAAATTATTGTTCATAAATGCATTTTGATAGAAAAATGGGACTCAAACAAGAGCATAGTTTATAATTGTTAGCCAAAGACACTTCATACAAATATACTCAACATGCAGAGAATCAACACATTCTAGATAATCTCCTTACCGACTTGACCACCCCAAACTCATCTCGCAATAGGGTTTAGTGATAGAGAATGTAGGTTGATAGGAATTTACATATAACTCATAACCTAGTTCTACCAACTCGAAACTCTCTCCAACTATGAATATTTTTTACACCTAGACAACAATTGGTCATGACTATTGTGCTCAAAATAACTTAGGATATTTATAGATAAGCAACTTTTTTCAAAAATAAAAAAATAAAAAAGGCGCAAATAGCATATTTGATTATAGTTTAATCAATAATAATTTTAAATATCAAGCCATTCTTAATCGACAAGGCTATCTATTTCATCTAATTAATTCTGAATTTATTAAGATTATTTCTTGTGGCGTTCAAACAAATCGAGTGAAATTCTTGAGTCATGTAATCACGGGGTCAACATATTGTCGGCGATTGTGTTGGTTCCTTGTTTCAATATTTTTAAATCAAGTTTAAACATTGATGTAAAGCTAAGGTTGAATTCGCATATATAAAATTAAATAAAAATATATCGTTCTAAACTCATCCACTAATATTTATTTTCATTAAATTCTTTTAAACATTTTTATATTCTTTAGAATTTGTGTTTAACTAAAACTCTAAGAATCACAAAATATCATCTTCAACTAAATCACAAAATATCATCTTTATTGAAATCAAAATAACAATGGAAGGATTATCATTAAAGGAAATGCAGGAAAACATAGCAATATATGAATAATAATTTGAAAAGGTATGGATTACGTTTTATTGTGAATTTCATGAATTTAATATTATCATTAGAAGAAATACATAAAAACAAATTTCACCAGTTTTTATGTTATTTTTTGAAAGCACAAAATCATGTCAAAAGTCTTGCCCCCACCATTGATAGCTTTTAGCTCTACATTAGAAGCATTGACTTTTGAGTTACCTTACATTAAAGATTGGATGGATATAGTGATTTTTTAAAATTTTGAAATTGTATTAGGGAGATATATTTAGAGTGTGATGAATATATCAAATTTGCGTACATCTATAGTTTTTAAATGAATTGATTTAATAAAGATAATATTAGAATTTGATGTGGATGAAAAGTAATTTTTTTAAATTTTAATATTTTAATAGTGATGAATTTAGAGTAGGATAAATATATAACAATCTTTGATATAAATAATGTACCCAATTTTTTTTTTTTTCAGCATGATTAAGAATAAGGGCGTATTTGATGAATATTATTGAGGCCCTGTTTGCGAGTGATTTAGATTTTTCTACAGTAAATTAATTCTCATTTTCTACCACACATTCTTCAATAAAATAATATTTTCTATTACATCAATAATTTTTTCTTCTTTTTCAACCACACATTTCCTATCATATCACTATTTAAAATCATTTTTTCTTCCAAAAATCCCTCTTAAACAAGTTCTGAGAAAATAACGTATTTTAAACAGTGATATGTTAGGAAATATGTGTTTAAAAAGTAAGAAAAAGTTATTGATGTGATAAAAAAATTATTTTATTGAAAAATGTGTGGTTGAAAATGAATTATGAAATAATATATTTTGAAAGAATATTTATAAATAAATAAATGACTTATTTTGAGAGTTTCTTTTACAAAAGCGTCTTTTTAATTTAAAATTAAGAAAAAGGTAATCGCTTGGATCAACCGTCAAGCAATAGATAAACATTTACACAAAACAAACAAATCGCTCATTCATCTTCAACTCAGAACCCTTAAATTTCAACCCAATAAAACGAAAGGGAACGTCAAAGCGAAGATAAATGAGTAACGAATAGTATGAGAAAACCCAGATGTTTACTTTAGATTTCTCACTTTCATTTTTTTCTTCTTTTAAATGTTTTGTTGTTTATTTTTGCAGCGATTATCTGTTTAAGCTTTTATTGATCGGCGACTCCTCTGTCGGAAAATCTTGCCTTCTTCTTAGATTCGCTGTACGCTCCAGTCCCATTCTTAACTCAGTTATTCACTGTTTGATTATTCTGAAAAAAAAGGTTATGCGTGTGTATTGGAAACAAATGATTCTCTTGATGGACTTTTTTGTTGTTGTAAAGAATCAGGATAATAGTACTTTAGTTCAGTTCTATAACTAATTTAATGAGAATAGTCTTAATTAATTCAACATTCTAATCGATCAGTTTTATAATGGGTTTCTTTTCGATATTCTTTAGTGACTTGATTCTGAAAATAGTTTTGGGTTAGTATATTCAGTACTGGGTTTTATTGAAATTTCTTTTGGGTGAATTGTATAGTGGACATGATCCTATTCTTTGATGCTTTCAGGATGATTCATATGTTGACAGCTATATTAGCACCATTGGAGTGGATTTTGTGAGTTTTACTCTCATAATCCCTTTATTCATGTTGCTTAGATTACAAAATAGTTCAGTTATTTTCAGGTCTTTGGTTCTGCTTTTATTGGGGTTTGTGATTGTCCATAATTACTGCAGAAAATTAGGACTGTGGAGCTAGATGGGAAGACTATCAAGCTGCAAATTGTGAGTTTATTTGATTTAATGACTACTCTATAATTGTGAACATTATAAAAACATGTATATGAATATTATGTTAGCTGTATGTGCTACTTTGGATATAACTTATAAGAGCATGCAATTTTTGAGACTGTCTGGATTTCAGAAATTAGCATTCAACTTTTTGGTTAGACTTGATAATCTGTGGAGGTTAATTTTATTTTAGATGCATTTAAAACTGGGATTACGTTATGTGTGGTTTTATTTTGAAGAACCCCAACTTAGAAAAATGGATGGTAGTTTTTATCATACACCAAGAAAAAGGATATTTAGCTTTGGAGAAATTTTTTATATGACATAAATTCTCATGGTTTTCTAGTAGTTGGTCGAAGCATGATTATCTCACCCCACCCAAGCCCCAAAGCTGTGGTCTTTCTCTTGGTTTTGATCTGAAGTGCAAATATAGCATGATATAGGTGCTATCAGTTAAAAAATGATTTTGTAAGTAGAGGAAAATGAGTGATTAGATAAAGCATTTGGGTTCTTTTTCTGTTTCCTACTAGTCACAAAATCTGGAGCCCAACCTTTAACATTTCTGCCGTTTGATTGGACTTGCTATATGTTTGTGTCCTGCTTATCTGAAATGGCAATATTTAACTTTGCATTTCTAATTATGTGAATTATAGTTCTAACTGCATATTACATGTTGCTCTCTTAGAAGTTTATTTAATCACCACAATTAACTTGATACTTCTTTCTGCCTTTTAAGTGGGATACTGCTGGCCAAGAGCGGTTCCGGACTATTACGAGCAGTTACTATCGAGGAGCTCATGGGATAATTGTAAGAAAGATTTCAATTTATGATGTTTGATCTCTAGTTTATTGTTCGTATATGTCTATACTTGTTCATAAAGTTATTACTGCACGAACAAATGTCAATAGGTAGGTATTGTAGAAGGTAAGTGTTAGCTTGCCAGGCAAGTTCCTCATTCAGGAGCTAAGGTGGCCATGTTGCATTCATTTGTTGGCAAATGAACAATTTATTTTCTTTAATGGGCAAAAACTGGTCACTCATTTCTCTTTACTATAATATAAGCTTCTAGTTCACGGCCCTTCTCTCTTAATGGAGAATCTGCTCCATGTGCTTTCAATTTTTTATGTTGTGAATCGGCATTGACCTCGTAAAAGTTTGAAATATTATAATTGTTTTCGATTTTGTACGTCTTTCTTGATATAGTTTAAGATTCACCGAATATTGATAATGAGTCTAGGTGCCAATATTTCAATTTTATTTGACAAAATTTAGTTTCTGTTATTATCTTTTTTTTTTTTTCATTAGAGCTTATTCATATGTAGAATTTGTAGTAAATATTTTGTGTTATTTTCCAACTTCTAATGTTTTCTTTCCCAATACATAAAAATAGAAGTTCATAATTAAAAAGATATGTTCTGTGTTATTCTCAATGTCATTAAATCAGTTGGGAATTTGATAAGATTCATGCTTTCAATAATTTTGTACCATCTTTACATACCTCAATATAGTATTGTTCATTTTTTGCTTTCTTGGTAGTAATAGTTTTTCTTTGCCGTCTTTGTTCACCTTAATGCAGTTTTGCTCTGTTTCCTTTCATGATAAGAATAATCTCACGTTTACTTAATTGCAACAGATTGTGTACGATGTAACTGAAATGGAAAGCTTCAACAATGTTAAGCAATGGCTTAATGAGATTGATAGATATGCAAACGATAGTGTATGCAAGCTTCTGGTGGGGAACAAATGCGATCTAGTTGAGAACAAAGTTGTTGATACACAAACTGCAAAGGTTCCATTGTTCTAATCCTATATAAATCTTCTTTTGTACTTTTAACCTTTCTGCATCATTAGTCCTGAAATGTTGTTGTGGTTCGGAACAAATAGTCATAGCAATAAGTATTCTATGAGCTTTGAAGGTTTCACTAATTTCATTCTTAAATCGATGCTGGAAAATTGCATGTTTCTCAAATTTTTTCTGTTTGTTTGGAAATTAACCTGTGATTACAGGGACTGGACTTCCAAATATCTCCTTTCTTGCTGGTTTTGCTTTTATTTTGAGTGTATTGGGTGGGGTGGGGTGGGGGTTGTTACGAAAAGAAATATTAGAAATAATTGCAAAGGTTCTGTTGTACTGTTTATGGGAGTAGTGTTGAAATAAAATGCCAAAGATACTGCAAATTCTGAACATGGCCTAAGAAAAAAAATTAAATAAGACTACAAGATAAGTGAAATGCGGAAAATGGATTACAATTTGGAATATTTAAAACTGATCCACTTTGTACATTTTAATAATTTCTAACCTTGATCCCTCTATCCTTCGGCCGAAATTGCAGGCATTTGCAGACGAGCTTGGAATCCCTTTTCTGGAGACTAGCGCAAAAGATTCTATCAATGTAGAGCAGGCTTTCTTAACCATGACCGGCGAGATTAAGAAAAAGTAAGGCAAACTAAACAACTTATTATTGGTTTTTATGGCATATGGTGTTATCTTTTTCTATAGTATACATATACTTAAAATAATTGATTCTACGTAATATTTTACAAATTAACAATCTCTTGTGATGAACATAATTTTTAGGAGCCAACACTTTATTCCATCGCGCAAAAACAAATATTATTTATACCTGATAGTTTATATCTTGTACAAATTCCTTCTTAGAAGTAATTTTCAAGTGGGTTTTAAAATAAATATAATGGTGACTTTATTAACCAAAATGCTAAGCTTTATAGTAAAGGTGCTTGAGGCTTATATTTGATCAATCTGGTTAATGAACAAATTGTTTACCAAATGTGATGATGAATTGCCTTGTCTACTAAAGTTGGAGATCATAATAATGGCTTACCAATTATGGTGACAAGGAATGAATGAATATCAGAACTTCTGAATTTTTCTCTTTAAGACTTGTAAAATTTCAACCAATATTTTCTTATTTGATCCTCATTTGTAGTGTTTCACTTTCAAGAGAGAAGTTTTTCTTATGTATCTGACACAAGGGTTTTTGCAGAATGGGTAACCAGCCAGCTGCAAACAAGAAACAGGCAAGCACGGTTAAAATTGAGGGTCGACCAATTGAGCAGAAAAACAATTGTTGCGGTTAACTGTTCTCAACTGTCTTATCTCATGTTAAAAGAATGTAAACAGATGGTAAATGTCTATTAATAAACTTCTCTTTTGGATTTCTTGTGAACAGCTGAATGTGATCAGACTTTACTAAGTTCCCATTTTCAGATTTTACCCAGGAAATGTATATTATGAAACACAAGTATGCATGTTAAAACAGTTTCTCTCTCTGTCCATTTTGGTTTTATTTCATCGCATTTGTATCCAATGGCTTCATTAAAGATAGAAGCATCTGAAAGAAATCATTGATAATTAGTATAGATATAGAAATCGTTTATGTAAAAAAAAAACCAGTATCTCTACAACCAACTGCCAAACTTTCTAAATTGACGAACAATTTAGAAATTCAAAACAAAATATTGCAAAATGGAAAACTGAACAGATATCGGAGGTAAAAGGCGAAGCCATTAGGAAGCAGAACAACACGTCTTCTTCAGGTTGGTCTCTTGAGGTCCAACGTCAAGAGTCTTCCCTTCTTTGATACTAGTAGCTGCAGGCTCGTCTGAGGAAAGTGACTTCTTACTAATTATACGGTATATCTCTGAAAGGATAATTTGGAAAGCCTTCTCTACATTAGTTGCTTCCAAAGCAGACGTTTCAATGAAAGAAAGGCCCTCTTTCTCTGCAAAACTCTGAGCATCCTCTGTGGCAACAGCACGTAAATGCTTGAGATCGGTCTTATTTCCTATAAGCATGATAACAATGTTGGAGTCCGCATGGTCCCTAAGTTCTTTCAACCATCGACTCACATTCTCAAACGAAGTTGGTTTTGTCACATCATATACAAGAACAGCTCCCAGAGCACCCCGGTAATAAGCACTAGTTATGGCTCTGTATCTCTCCTGGCCAGCCGTATCCCATAGCTGAGCCTTCACCGTTCTTCCCTCGACCTACACAGAAATGAGTTAAAACAAGTACAAAAGCATGCAATCTAAATCTAAATCTAAATCTAAATTATCTCATTTTCCTATTATCATTAAATTTAAATTTATAAGCAACTGAGTGAAGCTAGTTGGCTTGAAAGCTACGGTGCTATGAAGATAGTGGAATCTGTATACCATTCTCAAATAAAGCAGTCACAAGAGAATACAAGAGAACAAAATTAAACTATGAGAAAACTTCAGCTAAATGTCGAAAGAACGTACTGCTTACTCAAAACCATTATTGCCAGTCTCTATACTGAGAACCAAAAGCTAACAGATCAGTTGAAGAATGAGATGTACCAAGTGTAATGGAGATCAAATGCCTTCAAACTTAGGTGAATGCATGAAATGTACTAACCGAGATCAAATGTAGGAAGACTGACTAAATTATTAGACTCGTACTAATGAGAAAGATAAAGATCAATTACCAGACTACAAATATGTAGATCCAATGGCCACTAACCTATGCAGGAACATACTTATACCCCTACCAGAATCCCCAACACAGAAAAGAAAGAAGAAAATACACACTCAACCTACTCCAAACATGCACACTTAAAAGGAACTTCGGGAAGTCCAACGTTTGATGAGTTTTGACGAAGTGTATTTTATACACATATAGACATTTAATAGTTCTTTGGAACAATTATAGCCTAATTTATTGTATATTTCGTTTATTAGACGAAACTCGATGAAATGAAGTAGAATTGAAAGAAAGAAGCGAAAAATGACGAAAAATGGCAATATCCAAAGTTTGGAGACTTCAGTGTAAATACTCAAAACTTGTGTCGAACCTCACGATGAAGATTTGAAAATACTAGGGGTCGATTAGATGCAATTAAAAGTAAAAAATGAGTGAAATATGATCAAAATATTTTCACAAATCAATTTTCAATCGCACAAGTATGTTCCAGATTTGGGAGGAGAGAAAAATACATGATCATCAATATCAAATAACAAAGTGTTTAAAGACTTTTGAGGACGAAAAAAATTCTTGGTACAAGATTCAATTCTTTTCATGATCAAGATTTCAAAACCCGATTATGAGCTCTATACTTTTTTTTTCTTTCATTATTATGAGTAGCTAAATTCATAGTTAGATCGAACAATGTAATTTATGTGTGACCCTTTATTTATTTTATTCAAGATTCTAATTCTTTAAATGCATGTGTTGATTTTATTTATGAATTTAATACTTAGAATTCTTTGGTCAATTATTCAATGATTTTTGTGAATCTATTATAAATCGAAAAGTGAGTTTTAGATTTAGATTACATAGTAAAATTCGGTAATTTAGTATAAAACGTAGAGATACTTATGCTAGTTAATGCTGTCGTTACATGAATTCTTAGAACAATAATTATGTTTAACTAAAATTGATTCACATATGGATATGGAATTGAATTAGTTAAATAAATTCAATGAGAACTTGAGAGGGATAAATTGAATATATTAGAAGAATTTGATCAGGTAAGGCCCTATTTGAGCCAAATTATTGTAGAATGAAAAATATAGCCGTCATTGGGGTCCACATAAGAGATAGAAAATTTGAATTTAAATGTTGATGTGATGAATAACGGTCATATTTTTCATTTTACCGAGATAATAATGTAGATCAAACGGGGGCTAAGTATAATCATTTGTATAAAACTTGGTAATTGAGATTAAGGGGATAACTATGGTAAAGTCATGAATTCTAACACTTAAACCATCGTATTAAAAAAATCACTTTTATTTGTTTTAGTATATTTAAAATAGAAAATCACAAAAACAAAATACACACCTTTCGTTTGTTTTCGATCAAATTAAAGTTATGAATAATTGAATCAATTGTTAAATAGTGGTCATCGTAGGAACGATATTTGGCCCCACAGGTCCACTCTATTACTTATAACGATCCGTACACTTGCGGGATATAAAAATCGCCAACAAGTTTATTTATAAAAACAATATTTTATAAGTTAATATTGTATTAAAATACCTGAAATCTACAAAAACCTCCTATCTTTTGACTTAAGATTAAGATGGTTAGCTCATACAACACGAAAAATACACTGCATCACAGAGTTTTAAAATGTATTCGGCATTTTGGGACAATAATACACTGTTTGATATTTATCTAGAATTAACTAAGGGATGTACGCCATCCCAACAATAAAAAGGTAGCTAGCAATAGCTGCAAGGTTATTTATATAGATTTAAACCAATGCCTAATAGCAACCCTTTATTCTTTTCAAAGGTTCAGGATTTCGTAGCAAAATTGATCAAGAAATAAATATATTAATCCTCCAAATTCAATTCATGTAGCTCAATTATTCAATTAATTCTGCAAATGAAGTAGTAAAAAAGATGGTAGTCAATTTGAATTATGGCTAAGTCACACAAAACAAACATTCTAAGAGCATTGTGCCCCAGTAGGCCTATCGAATATAATAAATATTCCAAGTAACTAGAAAAATGCTTTTTGCACCAGGTATAAAGATTCTGCATTTCCACTCAAAATTAATGATTTTTAAAATCTCCCAAATGGGTAAATTCTTGAATAACATCACTCAATAAAAATCCAAGAATTAGTTCCTACAAGCTAGTTATATCACAAACCATATTTTAAGTTAACAAGTTCAAACTATTACAACCAATGACATTTAATATTTATCTGCCTTCTTTCTACATCATTTATGCACAATTGTTGCTCAGTCACTGATTAACCATAAATATAAACATAAACAAACTATAAACACCAATCCTGCTAACAACTATCCCATGCATAAACAGATATAAAGATTGTAAACTTACAAATTATGCATTCAAACTATAAACACCAATACAAAAAAGAACTACCACATTCACAACTGACCTAAATGTTCTAAACTAGCAACAATAAATTCATTTCATACTGAAGACCAGAAGTAGAATACACACACTTATGCTATACAGAAATTAAACATAATTGTAATTAATAAACCATGATTATCAACATAAACAAACTATAAAAACTAACCCGATTAACAACTACCCCATGAATAAATAGATCGAAAATTCTAATCAAACATTAATAAACATGAAAAAAAAAAATGAAAACCCATCTCATATTGAAGCAGAATAAACACCCACAAGTATAATAAACCAAACCCACATTCAAATGCACTGACACGTGCCACAGAAAAACACAACATTAAATAACTGTTCCTGACTTTCCCACAAAATATATTAACACTAAAAATAGAAGTAATAGTAGTGAAAGTATTTTCAAACCTGGAGGGTACGAGTAGCGAATTCAACGCCAATTGTTGATTTAGATTCCAAGCAGAATTCATTTCGGGTGAATCGGGATAGCAAATTTGTCTTACCGACTCCTGAATCGCCTATCAGTACAATTTTGAATAAGTAATCGTAGTCCTCGTCAGGTTTCCTCGCCATTTAAGCCCCCCGAGATTTTATATTTTCTTATCTCCAAAGCTTCCCTGTGGAATCGGTCTCAAGAGTAAATAATGGCGGATGATTGATGATTATCGAAATCTGATTTTTTTTCTTTTATTTTCAATTTTCTATGACAGACACGTGCACTGTTTTTTCTCGCATCACATTTTAATTATAATTAAATTTTGAAAATACAAATAAATATTTTTATTCTATCTTAACACAAATTTTTTGGTTGTCATAAAAAAAATGTGTTGATTAAAATAAGGTTGAATTAAAATACGATGAAAAAATTGAGTCATGAGTACGAAAATGAATAGGACCTTCATTTTAATTATAATGTGGCGTCGTCAATAAAATTGTGGCGTGAATATATTTACCTCGAGAAAATAGGTATATTCAATGAGAAGTGAAAGGACATAAATACCCTTGGAGTTTTTGTAAATTTTCAAGTGCATCATTTGATTTTCAAATTTATAATTTTTCTATGACATAAATGCCCCCAATAAATGAGTTAGTTAATTTAGTTAAGGTTACAAAAGGTGTCAGAAGTGACAAAACGTGAAGATCGAGCCTGAGATTTTACTAGTCTAGATGTAAATAGCGTCTAAATGAGCATTTTAGAACACGAGTAAAAAATCAAAAGATAGAAATACCCTTTTAACTACTTTTCTCGTTTTCTAGTGTTGTTAGACATTTGTTTTGTCCTTGCTCTCGATTATTTGTTTGTGACTTTAGTTGGTTCCGTTCAAATTTATTTGAAAATGGATTTTTCTTCCAAGTTTCCGGCTCATTCTTGGTGTTCGCAATATTTGTATTCTACTTTCCTTTCACCCTTACCCCCACAATGCAACAACTAAACCATTTCAACCTTTGTACGAGTGAATGCTCATCTCATAGATTTAGAGCTGTCATCTAATCACATATACCTCAATCAAATATAATAATTTTAGGATAGAAAATGTCAAAATTCAAGATAAATAGACAAATTTTTCATACTCTTTGACCACACAATCTAAAGTGGACAATACCTCTTCTTGAGTCTTGTTCACTATCTCTTCTTTCATACCGTCTAGTACTCCACCCGAACCATCGTCTTCAAGGAATTAATGGATAATTAGTGCAGCCAACAATTGGATCTGAAGTACATAATTTACTTGTTAAGTGAAATATCCAATTAATTCAAGGACCCTGCTAGATGAACAGGTCATATAGGCCCCGTTCAAACAACTTTACCCTTAATTCAAACCCCCTTGATTTGAGTTTGCAAATTGTCGATAATTTGTATATAGGGATAGTCTTATCCCAACTTGATTTGATCCGAACTCGTTGCTTACTGATTCTAAAATTTCGAGTGCTAAACGACAACTGTTTTCTAAGCTAGCTCCCTCTTTACTCGAATGTACTGTATTTTACTGAATCCTTAATCACACGACCTAATTTAACATGGTACTAAAGTGAAAAAAAATTTAAAAAGAAAAAAAAAAAATTAGTTGTGCTCCATTGTCAGCTGATTATATGGGGGCTTCCCAAATTGATTGAAATTCTGATCCAATTCAAATAAATTCGTTTATATAATCATCAACAACATCATTAATCTCCTCGAAAAAAATGTTTAAATGTATGTGTAATACCATGACATGAGGCACGGCCAACATGCCAAATCTGCAGAAGAAATATAACACCGTTTTGATATGAACTGCCTCTACAATTGGTTTCCATGCCTCCACATGTTCCTTAGTCCAAATTCCAGGTGTATTATTGGACCTTTACATTAAATACAATGAATAGATAATAATTGTGGTTCGACTAGACAATATAATGAACCTTGTTTTTTTTTTTTTATATCTTTATAATATTATTTATAGCATGGTACAATCAATTTCACCAAAAAATGGAAATTTTCTTACGTACCCTTTGCAGTATCCGATTGCTTCGACGATAAGAAGACCACCTTTGATTGCTCTTTGAGAGTATCACAATGCCGCATGTGGCTGTGGAATAGTGTTGTAAGATACGCATCTGGTTTTAATGATGAAAAGTGACAAAAGTTGTGAAATTTGAAATTAAATTGAATTTCAACATACAGAATCACGTTTTAAAGTTATCATAACTTTCCTATTTCAACTTTTAAATAACTAATCCCTTTGACCAATCAATTGGTATCATTAATCAATTAAGCCCATGTTTGAGCCTCATCTTTTGGCTTAATAGATTTTTTTTTTTGAAAATTGTGTGGTTAAAAAGTAATAAAAAGCTTTTGGTTTACATGTGTTATGTTTTAGATTATTTGTAATTGGCGATTTTGTAAACAAAAGGATTGAAATTGACATATTATAAAAGTTCAAGGAGTAATGTACAAATAAGTTGAAAATAGGGTTATTACGTCTAGGGCTCGAGAATGGCAAAAAGAGGAAAACGGCGCGGATTTTCGCTGGACCATAGCCAAGGTTTGGCTCGAGTTACAAAAGCAGAAATATCGTCACTGGACTGTTGCCCCTACTTTGCTAGAGCGACAATTTGTCGCTGAGCCCTCGCTCGAGCGACAGGTTTATTCGGAAAATTTTTATTTCGCGATTTCAAGGCTTTTTTCTTGGCCCATCTGTTTTATACTCTACTTATAAATACCAAAACCCTTGTGTACGAAATTGATGAGTTTGAACATTGACAGAAAAAGGCTACAGAGTATTTCCTTCATATTTGATTCTTTCAACCTTCATCTGTGAGAGTTTTGGTGAGAAAAACATCAGTTCATTAATCCAAATACCAAACCACTACTTCATCTACATCTGATCAGAGTTCTGAAGATAGAAAGAAGTTGACAGAAGTTTTTGTCTATGAAGAACGGGTCGTTCTTCGTGATCCACGGGAGATAAACGATTCTACAAGGTTGGGAGAGCTGCATGGTAGTAGATTCCTCGGAGAGCTTTGGCAATGCAGCTAAGGATTGGAGCAGGGGAGCACGGGATCCAGGGAGAGCTGCAAGAAATGCAGTCTGATGGTTAGATAGTACGGATCGTCTAGTCTGATTGACTGTAAGTTGTTAAGATCGTTTATAGTGGATTGCCTGACAAAGTGCCAGAAGTTTTTTCCAGTTGGGTTTCTCCGTGAACATCCCGGTATTTGATTTACTGCTTTACTATTCATTATTCATTATACAACTACGATAATTCAATTTAGGACAAATTGACTTGAATGTTTAATTATCTAGAAAAGAATTAAAAAGTGACTTGTTGCTATTTAATTCGTAAAAATATTTTTAATTCCGCATTACATACCTATTCACTCCCTTCTAGGTATTGTTAGGGTCGAACTGCGTAACTTTCACCGTGCAAAATATTTTATTGTATAAATATTTGGTTGAAAATGAGTTTTAAAAAAATGAATTTTGAAAAAAATGGGGATCAAGGGCTAAATATAAATTGTTAATACCTAAATCATTATGTCATACTTCTATTCTGTGAAACAATACAACACATGCCTTGTTATGTCGCTCAACGTGAAACCTTAATTAGGTTGTGTGATCTTGATTCATTCGAAATCTATACCGATACAGATATGTAAATATAAGAAGTCGAAGGTTCAGTTAAAATTGAATTGAAGTCAAAACGAGATTAAATAAAATTATGAGCGAACTTGTAAGTTAGTACTTGTTTTAAAAAACTTCCAATTTTTGTAATCGAAATGGCAAACCGAATTCACGAAAATTTGGTGAACCTAACTCTCTTTTAGCTTCTAGATCTAGCTCCTATTTGGTAGATATTAAAATAAAATTTTTAGCAAAGTTTGATAAAAGTTAATGTGTGGTTGAAAAAGTGTGGATATCACGAAATATGTAATTAAAAATTTATTGTTGATTTTGACTTTTTTTTAACAGATTTTCAGTGCTCAAGCGCTGTCCCATAGCGCTCGAGCGCCGCCACTGATTTTAGGTTTTTATTGTTTGGGCCGCGAAAACTCCACAAAAAGACTCCAAGTTGGCCAAGAACGGATATGAAAGTATAAATAGACCTAAGGAGACTTGGGAAAATGGGGGGGGGGGGGGGGTTCTCACACAACCCCCCACAGAACACTCAGGGGGTGGGTACTTTTTTTTTTTTTACATTTTTATTGACACGGGACCCACCATTTGTGAGTGTTCTGTGGGGGTTCTGTGAGAACTCCCCCCGCCCTCCCGGGTACACTCAGCTTTCCTCCTAAAAATCCAACTTGTTGTATAGCATATATGTAGCCTGTTATCTTGTTGAAGTTGAAGTGTCACAACATATTACTAACAATAGAAAATGTTAATTTGTAATGAATAATGCTACTTGGCCAAGGCGATTAACAGAAAATTGGATACAGGGTGGGGTGACAACAATTAATTGAATGTTTTTTTTTAAAACTATCCAATCATGTATTGACACGTGTTCCCCTATTTTTAAATGTGCCATCGAGTCTGTCACTGTAGTAAGACCGATTTTTAATTGTGAACACAAATAGTAGTCCCTGTATTATGTTTAGTATATGGTTGTTTGGTAATTATTTTATAATTATTTTTAATTAAATATATTTTTTATTCATACATTTTAAAAAATTTATAATTACTCTTCATTTACTATCCATAGATTTCATATATGTAACTTATAATCATTTAAATTAAAATACTACAGTGAAAATATTTTAAGAAACCATCTTTCAACTCAATGTAATCAAGTGTCAAATCTTCATATTTTTCCAGTATAAAAAATCGATCCTAAATTGTGGGTTGTTGAAGGTCTCATTCTTCATTTTTCTGTACCTAATCATTAATTAGTTGCCAATTCAACTCGATGGGAATCAAATAGGGACTTTGCCGAATTCCCCTGTTTTTGAGAACTTTGCATCAATCAGTCTTGTTGTATGTATATTAAGTTTAACATCAAGTTTGATATTATTGTGAGGCGAAAATTTTTTTATATTGATTTTAACAACAATTTAAACAATCAATAACACAGATTTTAACACATCAGATAGTATCA